CCTTCTTCTTTCTAAGATAAGACTGGGTGCTACTCTATTCACTGATTCAACTTGTGTACACTCAGTTGCCTCCTCATTGTATTGCATATTAGCCTTTCAGCTTCATGAAGAAAACAGTCTATTGGGGTGCTAAAGCCAGACTGATACCCAAAACAAATAAGGCCAGTCACAACTAGGTTTGGACTTTTTAGTCACTTTATGAGCCTTTAGGCATGTTGGTGGACATTGGAGAGACTTACTTTGTTGTTGCCGTTTAAAGTTTTGGAGACATGTAGAATATCTACTCTTGGGTTGGATCAAATCAAACAAGGACTGGCCTCTAGCCAAGAGATTCTCCCACCTCCAACCTCAGTTAAAATAAAATCAGTAAAATAATTTCAGTCCCTTTCACATAGAGCCCCCTTCTCTGGTTTCAGCCAAGTCTGTAAAGCTGAGTGCCATTTCTTATATGGTAGAAGAGAGAGGCAACAGACTTTGAAGCCACTCAGAGTAATTCTTATTTCAACTTTATTCCAAAAGCTCAATTTGATTGGAAAAAAAAAATCTCCAAAGAGCCAGCAGAGTCACTTGGTTGGTATTTTTAGTCTAAAGTCAGCTAGATCCAAAGCATCTGGCTTCTTGTCCTTACTTTCCTCTTTCATAGGGCCGAGCAAAATAGCCCTGAAAAACCACAGAGCCATTTAAATTCAGTCAGGGCATCTGTCAGTACCATAATAGCAGATCTGGACCAGAATTAAGCTGAGTGATTAGGATCTGGACCTTTTTTATTACACTTAAGAGACTGACCAAACACTCCCCATAGTAGGTAGTCTATGGGAACTTGGTCCATAAAAGCTCTGAAGAAGCTCTGTTTATGTCCTTGTATTGGATAACTCTGAAGCCATGGTCTCTGTGACTCAGCTGGAATAGAATCCAAAATAAAACACCAAGCTGCTTATCTCGAAGCTCAATTCCCAGGCACCCGCAGTTCTATATAACCATTATGCTCAGCCCCCTAGTTGTGACTGGCCTTATTTGTTTTGGGTATCAGTCTGGCTTTAGCACCCCAATAGACTCTTCTTCACGAAGCTGAAAGGCTAATATGCAATACAATGAGGAGGCAACTGAGTGTACACAAGTTGAATCAGTGAATAGAGTAGCACCCAGTCTTATCTTAGAAAGAAGAAGGTTTTCTTGGCAAAGAGGTAGAAGAGGTCCCTGCTGATGGATTTTTCAATAAAAGTACTCTTTCATATATATATTTATAGACATCCCCACATATGTGTGTAGGTGATATTATAACACCCTCTTAATATATTGTCTCATTTGATACTTATCATGAATTGGAGATTTTGAATTGTTCCCATTTTTGGGTTCAGAGAGAAGTTAGAAGTCCGTGATTTGCCTAAAATCACTTAGGCAATAAGAAGATCCAAGAACTCTTCTCAGCTTTCCCATCTTTGTGCTTCTGTTTTACGTACAGCTGTCTGATATGTATGATATGTATGAATTGAGGTACCTGGGTGGGTCATAACATATAGCAGACATCTCAATGAGGTTACAGTTGGTATCATGCCACACATTTTACCCTATTGATCCCTCACACAGCATTGCAATATTGAGCACTTATTAGTGAAATTTAGAAACCTAGCCATGTTACAGTGTCTATAGTGGCTGGTTATCTGCCTGACTGATGTGAAGGTCCCGTGAGGAGGCATGGTATTGGATAACTTGGGGTAAGATATTAAATCTTGTATAACACTATGTTCATAGCTCAGTTAGAGAGAGAGAGAGAGAGAGAGAGAGAGAGAGAGAGAGAGAGAGAGAGAGAGATCCAAAGCTGATTGGGAGGATTGTGGGTAGTACCAAATGCTTGGATGGATGGCTTATTCTTTAATGAAAGAGGTGTCATTGAAGCCTTTGATCAGGAGGCACACACTGAAAGAATTCCAGCTTACTTTGTGGCAGTAAAGAGTAAGGGGGGAAAGACTGTTGATAAAGAGATGAGACATAACATGAACAGTGTCACATGTACAATGAGCAGCAGACACACCTGGATGCCTGGGTAGGCATGAGGTCTAGTGCCTGAGAAATTCATGGGCTCTGTCCTATATTAGCTCCATCATACTTTCTCTTGGACGCTTGTTCATTTAATCAGACAGTGTCACAGATTTCTGCTCTAGCTCTGAAGACATGTGCCATCTCTCTCTTTTATTACTCCCTCCAAATTGACTTGAATGAACTTTTCAAGTGTCTCCAACGCTAGCCATTTTGGCCTCTTTGGGACACATTGAGTAGTTTGCTATCATTTTTGAAAAGCCTTCCACACCTCATCCTCTAGCCCATTAGATTTTGTGTCCCCTCAGTAATATCCCTGTCAAGTGGTTTTGACATTTCATCAAATGCCGGTGATTGCTGTGGATATATGGATGTCAAAGCTGACCCTGTATTTCAGTTAATGTGCGACACAGAAGCAGCGTTGTCCTGGGGGAAAAGCCCCTGCTGTTGACAGAGCGAGGTTGAGCAAGACATCGCTCGAGAGGCTGTGTCAGGGGCCCTGGAGTTCACCCAGGGTGTAGTGCTTCACAAGAGGGCTTGCAGGAGGCAGCACATGGAGCTCCTGTCTATGGTTTCTTGTAACACAAAGACACAGAGCAAGGTCAGCACAAAGGAAGCACAGGGGAAAGCCTGGAAGAAACCAGGTACCACCAGCTTCCACTGGGAGTCCTGCAGACTATGCAGAGTCCCTCCAGTAGTGAGCTGTGAAACACATAGAAATATTATTTATCTGTCTCATTAAGACTCCTTGCCCAGGAATTTCACTGAGGCTTGTTTACCCAAGTATCTTTTACATAACACAGAACACAATCCTGGACTCCCAGAAGGAAAGCAGAGGTTCAGCATAAGCAGCATTAGGCCAGGAGCCATTCAGATTGTTCTGGGAGCTGAACAAAGTCTCCCCAAAGGGTGAGATACCAGATGCCAACCCTCTGCCAATTTTGCAAGCACCTTTCCTAAGGATAGGAGTCTCTCTAAGGGCGGTTAACTCTTCCCTGGACAGAGAGTAAAAATATTATCTCTGTTGTTGATTGTTATGGAGAAGCTGCTACAAAGCCAAAAGAGGCTTGTTCCAATTCCAAATTAAGAAGTCATGTTTCCAGTTTCTCCCCTTCTCCCTTCTGTCCCCTCTGTGGGAGGGGCTTTAATTGGGGAGAGGAAGGGAGGTCAATATAGAAGGGAAGGGAATGAAGAGGGAATAACATAATAACACTAAGGATGCTTGAAAAAGCCTTAAGGAATCGTTTTATATTTATCTAAATTTACATATAATACATATGAGTCTATGTATGTGCACACACACATACACACAGTTTAAATGAAATTATGCACTTAAGGTGATAATACTTCACCCAAGAACCATAGAGACTCTAATATATTCCCCAGTGCCAGGCACAAAAAAAAAAAAAAAAAAAAACTCCTTTAGAGTTGTTGGTCATAGGAGTCTAAAAGATTCCCAAAATGATATAGGCTATTGCTATTGCCCTCTGTTGATCCCCAGAAGTTGAAGGTAAGTCCCCATTGCTGAAGACACTGAGTACACAAGTACACACGTACATAAGACAAAGAAGACTTGAGCTGGATCTGACCCAAAATGCTCCTCCCCTAGGATTAGCTTTTGCAGTATCATAAGGTACTACTCAATCTGCCAAAGGAGCAGAACATTCACTAGTCCTACTGAGCTGTGACACCTGTGAACCAGAATAATGGTCAGCACAGCAAGACAGCCATGACGGCACAATAGTGGCTTGTCATCTATCTTGGTGGTAGCCAATAGCTCCCTAAATTGGGCTTAAGGCCAATTGAGCAGGAGGGAAATCATGCCTGGTACTGGAAACCTAGCCAATTACCAGGGGCGAGTGAGGTCAGAGATCTCTTAGGAGAGTCTACCACTGTCACTTTCCTAACCCATGGTAATTCCTAACTGCAATCTAGATACCTATCCTTATATACACAGTGAAGTGTAGCTCTCTTTTCGGTCAAAGATACTTCTTTTCAGGAGAGATGAAGACCACTACAGAAAGCCATGGCTAGTCAGAATGCAGAGTACAGTTCACTGTTGGGTGCCCAGGCCCAAAGGAAACATCTACAACACATCCCCCTACACTTAAGACTCAGGGAACGTCTTGGAAGGAGGGGCAAGAAGAGTGTAAGAACCAGAAGACCAGAAAGTCTGCTGCAAGACTGAATCTTTTAGATTTGACAGGGAAACTACACAGGAAAAGGGAAGTGGCTGAATCTGGGAGAAGATTCTTTGAACACTGCTGTGTACTTCCTTCGGGGATTACCGATCTTGATGGGAGAGTCGGTTTGCTTTTTAGTCTCAGGAGACTCTTTGGCCATTGCATTGTCTTTGTTACTGCTTGCTGGCTAGAATGAAACTGAAAAGCTGCTTGTTTTGAGAGGGAACATCCTGAGGGGAGGGTGAAAGCCTTTGGATTTATTACTCTAAGCTTGGACTTCTCCCAGACCCTGGCATCTAGGTACTGCCTTTGGTATTTAATTTCTCTTTTCCTGGGTTGAACAGAGCCTCAATAGTATGTGACTAGGTGAAGCAATGATTTTTATTTTAGATAAAAAATATTTAGTGTAGTTTATAATATGCATAGTTTATGACAAATATGTGTGTGTACATATGCTATATGTGCACTCACACATATACATGTGTATATGAGACATGTTTTTAAAGGAAACTCTCTTATGTTAGTGTGGCTAGCTTGCAGATGCTTGTGGTGTGGGAGACATCACTGCCTCCTTTGTTTCATGCTCCAGACAGCTCAGAAATAGAAAATGATTTTATGGCAGAAGGTGGAGAGAGGAGTGCTCTGTGGCACTTGCAGTAATGGTTACTATAGCGATGGAGGACAATTCCGGCCTCTCTCGCTTCAGTGAACCTCAGGAGGGCAAATGTGGGCCGTAATGAGGAGGTTTGAAACTCTCTGTCTCTTGTCCCACTGTCTCAGGGTTTCCAGCAAAAGTTCTCCTTCCACAGTAAAGAGATCGTGGCCATCAGCTGTTCTTGGTGCAAGCAGGCGGTAAGTGCGGGGTGAAATAAGCGTTGTGGGCTCACGTGTGACCATGACTGGCCTGGGAACAATGCTTGGGTTCCTGCCTACATGTGGAAGATTACCCTAAAAATATTCAGTTTTCTCATACAGCATCCTTAGAAGAAGAGAGTAAAATTATAGATCAACAGCAAATATAAGTAGGGGGAAAAACAGAGAGAAAAATTATACTTCTTTCATTTAACTTGAAGCCTGGAATGAAAGTTTGGAAACCCTCCATGATTCTCACCCTGGGATTAGACTCTCGAGAGCTCCTCCCCCCTAGTTCATCCACATGTCTTCCCTGTCCACGAGACTGCTAAGGGTTCCTCCTCATACTAAAGTCCAACATGGGGAGCCTTGAGTGAACTCTGCATCCTGGGGGTCTAGGTCTCGATGTGAGAGACTTTGTTGCGGGGCTGTGGAGAATGAGTGCCTTTGGTGTTGCTCTTTAGGTTTCGATGTTTGGCTAGCCACCCACGTGCCCACTGAAACAGAGTGCTTCCTTATATTTGACCATGTACATTCATTAAGATCCCAAACTAATTTCCCACTTACTCTACTTTTCTTTATCCTCTGTCTCATTCTCTTCTACTCTTTAAAGCACTTGACACTCCATCCAAAACAGATATTGCACTTGCTTGTTTGCTTTCCTCTGTGGCTGCTTTTGGACTTTACTCTAGCACAGTTGCAAACTATGGCATCCAGGGCCAAGTATGGCTGCCACCTATTTTTATGTAATAGTTTATTGCAACACAGCTGTGCCCAACTGTTTATGGGTTATCTGTAGCTCTGTTTGTATCTCAGAGATGAGTTGAGTATTTGCAACACACCCAGGCCCTTACAGAAACAGTTTGTTAACCAACCCCCTCAAGTCTCTCAACCTATCTACACTTGTTTTTCAAGGTCGAGTCTTGCTATGTAGAGTGTGCTATCTTTGTATTTGTGATCCTTCTGCTTCAGCCACCTGGATGCTTGGATTATATGATATGCACTAGCATTTCAGCTTCCCATCTGCTTTTTTTGAGTGACCGTGTAGATGAAAAGATATCACCTGTTTAGTTCAAAGGAGGCCTGAAAAGAAGATCTGTGTGTGTTAGCTAGATTCAAGGTTCACAGATCTACACACAGTAGATTCAACACTAGCAAAGGGGCTGGAACAGATGCAGTTTGAAACAATTGCAGTTGACATTTTTGTGGGTTAAACTCTTTGCATTATAGCAAGTCTGTAAGATTCAACCCAATAGTCTCACTGACGTAATTTCCCCAGGGCCTTCTTCTGTCGAGAGCCTCTGCTTATCAGGTGCAGACCCACTGGTCTGGAAGGTTCAGTGTTTGCTGTACCACCATCATACTGCGTTTTTTTCTTGGCATTTCCATTTTATCCCAGTCATCATACATGTAAACTTTGTGCTTCTGTTTAAAAACATGTTCAGAAGCACAAGGCTATCCTACTTATAGTGAAACTTTACATCATAAACACAGGCTCTCCCTCTGGTATTAAGGTGTCAACTAGTCCCTAATGCTTCCCATGCTTCTGGCTCTCCTGAGCTGGGAAGAGCCTGTTCTGATAAACTGTTGCTCCTGTGACCCTGGGGTGAGGTGTCTTATTCAGGGTCCATTAATTTGAAGCCTTGATCCTACTTTACAGTGAACACCCATAGTTTCTTCGTTAATCTGCCATCTTACTGATTCACTACAGAGACTCACTTTTCACTTTATTGTTGTGGCCAAGCTTTGGCCAATTTCACAGATTTTTAATGTCCCAGAAAGTATGGCAATCAATTTTACAAGATCTTATATGCAGAATATAGTCACACAAATTATAGCATTGATATATTCTTAATAGTACAAGTAATTCCTTCCAGGAAATTCGATATCAGATAAATAAACAAATAACTGATCCTCTATGATACAGGAGGAAAACCTTGGGTTAGGGAGCTGGGTTTCCTGTGTGTATGTCTTGGCTCCAACATTTAAAGACTGTGCAATCCTGAGTGTACCTGTTAGTTTCTAGCTTAGAGATCACTCAAGTGTAAGTTGAAAGAGTTGCTTAGACAGTGTTTGAGACCCTTACTACTGTAAATATGCAATGGGCATGCATTGAGGTTTAATTTGAATTGCTTAAAAAACAATCAAATTTGAAAGGAGATGTTCAAAGGATATTTTTCTGATGTGACATTCCTCAGGTTCAGTTTGTTTGCGGATCCCAAATAATGGGTGGCCTGGAGAATTCTTAATTATTTAATCAGTATTTTATCCATGATTGATGTTAATGAACTACTGGATCACATGCGATCTTGACAGTATGCAGAAGTGAAAACGAAGTCTTTGTGATAGTGTAGAATAAAATTAGGGTAGCTGTGTGTGCCCATTTTCCTCAGACAGTCCTAATTGATGTCTGTTCTCCTGACATTGTTATTATCAGTGGTTTCTTTCACTCTTTAGCTCCAGTTCGGTTGAAATGTGAATTGTGTATTGTGTGTTGGTTATAATAAGTATAATTCAAGTATAAATAAAAAGTCACTATGATTAGAACTTAAATCCTTTAATTATTGCATAGCTGATTTTTTATGTTCACTAGAAATGAAATATCCCCACACATGACTATCACCTCATAGTCAGAAGGTGACTGAAAATATGGTTAGACTGAGGTCACAGTGCCAGCCTCACGATAGAGTGGTGAGCCACCCCCCCCCCCCACGCTCACACACACTGGGGTGTTCTGGTGACTGTTACTAGTTCAGGTTTTCTTCCCTCCTGTAATGAACAAGCTCCGCAGGCCTGCAGAGTGTAATAGGACCACTGTATTTTTAAAGGCTCTAGATAAGCCCAGTAGACACGATCTCTTTGTGTTTTGTTACCACTGAGGTTAATAGTTTTCTGGAAGAGACCACTTGCTTCCTTCCTGGCTCCCCACACTTGAAAGATTACTTGGGAGGATTTACAGCAACAGTTGTAGAAGCAAAAAGTCAAGGAGATGGCCATCGCCTTCCCAATTGTCATTTTCGTCTCTATGTCATATAATAGAAACAGTTGTGTGTAGTTAAGGTTAGTAGAGCCCTCCAAGACTCGGCATCTTTATATACATAGTCCATTAAACAGTTAGAATGTCTTAGCAGGCGCCATCCTTCTAGGCTCTTATTTACAACTGTTATGTCTAACTGGAATGAATTGATCTGGTCTCTAAGCTTGTGGTTAGATGGTTGAATGCTGATGAGATGCATGTGTTTCTTAATGTGTAATTATGTGTGTTTGTGCATGTGCCTGTGAGCCTGCCTGTGAGTGAGTGAGTGAGTGTGTGTGTGTGTGTGTGTGTATGTGTGTATGTGTGTAGCTATCCCTTCTTGCTGTGAATGACCTCTTACTCAGAAGTGCTCATTAGCCTGTTTCTCTCTTCAGTTTCACAATAAGGTGACCTGCTTCATGCTGCATCACATCGAGGAACCCTGCTCTCTGGGGGCCCACGCTGCTGTCATTGTCCCGCCCACCTGGATCATTAAGGTGAAGAAACCTCAGGTAACTGCAGGATCCTGGTGCTGCTGGTCTAGTGCAGAGGAAAGGAAACTGTTTAGATTTGCTTTTCTCCTCCAGTAGTCTTCGGGCGCCTATCACCTCCACACATTTGTCCCTGTGGTCTGGTGCTTAGCTACCAGGCTCATCTCACCAGCCCATCACTTGACCTCATTGGGCTCTCTCGTGGAACTAGACTCCCATCCTCACAAAAACCCAGTTTCACAGCAAGGATGTGTCCTCCTCATCCACGGGTAATGATGCTCTCTGAAGGCAGGTTTCCTGAGTTTCAGTGAGTGCCAGTGAGGATACAGTGGATTCTTACATGATCTCTTCTCTTCCAAGCCTGAGAGGAGTCAACAGAGAGCAAGGTTGGCAAGACACATAGTTTGGTTAAGATTTCTGCCAATCTAAAGGGCAGACTGTGAGTTATGACCTCCATTACATACAAGGCCTGCTTAGAGAGCCACAGTGTTTTCTTACAGTGAATTGAATCTGCTATCTTAGTACCTAATCCCATTCTGTGTCCTTAGTAGCCTTCCTGTTTAAGCCAATCTTTTTATTAGTCTGGGGGACTTTCCTGAGGATGTAGGGATTATCCTTGTAGGGATTATCCTTGTGTTTAAAAGGTGGATGAGATTTAGGGCAGTAGACTAGAGAACAAGTAGCAGGCAGGACAATAGTACACAGTGTACAAAATTATAGTCCTGGGCCTGTGAGTTGAGTTACATCATACTAGGTCTCTGCTGAGGCATGCAGGAGGAAACGTCTAAAACAGCGGGAGGCCACTCTTTGTTAACAGTGATTATATGGCTAAATTCTTATTCCAGAGTGCACAATAATGTTTTAGCTATATTTGTGTTTCCCAAGGAAGTAGCATATTTATGGAGGTATATATCCCATCTTATTCGTCTTTAGCCATCATACTGAATATAATGCGTCCATGAACATGGCTAATTAAATGCTGACTTAATTAATATCTTCTTGACCTTTTATATTTCGAAGAATACGATAGAGGAACATTAGAATGTGAACACAAATGTGTAGACACACACACACACACACACACACACACACACACACACAGTGAGAGATGAGGTGGATAGACAGATGATAGAAAGACAGGCAGATGATAGAGATTCCCAAAGTTGGACAGCCATCCTACTCTACTATACCCCCATCTTCCTTCTTTTAAGCTTCTTCTCAATGACTCCAAGGAATTTTCTGACTTTTTTTGTCCCCATGTTATTAACAGCTCACCTCTAATGAGCTGTGCTCTATACTTTATGGGTCTGCCAGTCATAATCTGATCACAAACTCAAGTGTGACTATCAACCTCTGATTTTACAGTTATGGAGTTCAACATCTTTCCATCTGTCGTAACAGGACCCTGCTAACAGCACTATCCCCACTTGGCAGGGTTCTCTTTTCTCATTGTTTTCCTACACACTTTGGCTGGGTTTCCCTTCTAAAACACTGTTCTTACTTGATCACTTCTTTTCTGTAAGGAAGCCTACTGCTTCAGAATAAAGTCTGCATGAATCAAGAATCTGCCCGCCATCAGGCCCGCGCAACATCCAGTTCCTCCTGTAAGCCAGCCTTCCTTTCCCAGAATCTACGAATAATGTTTTATATATGTTGATGTCTCCCCTAGGGAGCATAAACCCATAGGATCGAGTTGGGACACTCTAGTCTGTGAAGGGAGGATTGTGCTTAGTCTTTTAGTTTAATGCTTAGTGCATAATGACCAATGTACATACATTATCCCTGTACAAAAGAAACTTCAGATAAAAGATGTCCCCTTTCACTAACATTTAAAATTTTAGACACCTGCTGGCTTTTCTATCACATACCCATGTTTTCATTACTGGTTTATAGGCATAGAAATGTACCATTAGACTAGATATACTACTGTAGTGTGTACAGGGTTGAGGGTGGTTAATGAGTGATGCTGTACTACCAATAATTCTTCAGAACTCACTTAGTTTTAAAAAATGAATCTTGGGTAGATGTTTCTAGTAGTACACATAGTCCTAAATCATTTAAGCTGTTCCCATTCAGTAGACATTTGGTCCACATCCCTACTGGTAGATGTTTACATTGTTCCTAATGGCCTGTTTGCAAACAGTGCTGTGTTCTACCCTTCCTACTCCTGAATGAGGTTTTCTTTTTCTTGCTAGTTTTCTTTTTTCTTGTCTTATTATGACTGGATGATCTTTCATTGCCGGAGTAATGGAATAACAGATTTTATTCAGTGACTAACACAATCCCTCAGACTTGCTTAAACTATTTCCTTGGGTGAATTATGAAGATCAATTAGCACGCATGATTTGATGTGACTTGGAGCTCTTGAGACCTGCTCCTCAACTTTGGGGACAAGTTTTCTTTGTTATCTACTGTCGTCAGAACCACCTTAATTCCAGTGGGGTGTCCGGAGCAGGAGGTGAGCATCCCTTAAATAACCAAAGCTCTGCCTTCTCCCTTCTATGACCTGCCAAACTGTTGTCTTGTGTTTGTGGGAGAGACTTCCTTTGTTATAATGAAGTGATATATCATTTTTAGGTCTTTTAATATAACCAATTATTTATGATCCCATAACCTGGAAAAAATCCCTCAAGGGTAATAAGAGCTAAAGTTTTGTTTACAGTTAAATGATTCATCCATAAGGACTTCTTAACTGCCCAGGAAGGAGTCATAACTCTGATAATGGTTTGGTTGATAGGATTACTTTCTTGGCAAGGTGAGATTGCTCTGACACCTGGTCCAAGAAGACAAAGGGCCTTTATCTTTTCTGATGTCTTCATAGAAGGATAGGCATAAAATGCCTAGAAGGCAACTGCTCTTGATATCAAAAGGCCATGAAAACCAGTCCGAATAGTGTTGATATTGTAAGGGAATCAGGCCCCTGAGTTAGCTGCCCTTGCTAGAATAAGCAGGCTTTGTTTTAGAACATTGGAGAAGTGTGAAAGGTTTCTCGACTCTTTCATCACCAATACTTTACAATAAGTTTTAGACATTGCCTCTGTAGTCTCACAAAGCAGGCCACTTTGTTGAATTCCCTAGTACCAACCCAGGCAGGGCAAGCTTTGCCGTAAATTAGTGCAGATGGGTATCTTAGCTTGTCATGACTGCGGTACATTCCAAATCTGCCTTCGTAGCCATCTCTTCTTCTCAGGATGCTGCTGCCTTGCAAGTGAAGTGATGTTGGACATTTGTACTCAAACAGAAGGGAGCCGTCTGAATAATGAGGTGTACTGGGAAATTCCAGAGTACTTGCTATTGCTCTTTGATCATTCTTGATGCTATAAACTTCCTTAAATCTCAGACTTGCTCGGATACTCTGAGTCAATCACTATACCTGTTCTGTAGAGAAAGCCCCAGATACATGGGTCTTGGGGAGGCTCAGAGGCACTTGTTACATCTATGTTGAAAGACTGTTTTGTGTGTCTGCTTCTTACTCAAGTTGAATTGCTTGCCCACCCTGTTTTCAGATTTCTTTCCTTGTTTCTAATTCCGTATTTCCCAAATGTGCTTGACTGTCAGAATCACCCAAAATGCTATATGTGTTATGATAAGTTTAAGAAAGCCGTGTAAGATCTTCACCTGATGCAGTAGAACTACATCTTAGAATTTAATTGTTGAACTCTGTCATGAACCAAGGCCCCTAGTGTGTTCCTGAAAGCAACTGGTATTTGTACTTATTCGGTCTAGGCAGGAAATGAGCTAAAACAACAAAGTAGTGGGGAGACAAGCCATCATATCCTAGGCACGATCATGCAAGCCAGAAGAGGCTTAGTAAATACTGTTAGTTATATAATGTTTATTCATTGTTTGGACCATGATTGGGGTGTGGTTGTGCACAAAGGATTTGTGCTGGGTAGTGAGGTTAACGGATGTGAATAGATGTATATTATGGAATGGATGCAAAACCAACTGCTTCACATATACCTTTTCTTGTTTAAACTTTACAACTGTCCTGTGAGGTAGGTATTATCACTTCATGCTAAAACTAAGAGCCTGTTGTATTAACCATTTGCCTGACTCAGTAAAGTGCATGCATCTCATCATAGGGAGCTGATGATGGATTCTTGCAAATCCATCAGGCTCATGGTCCTCCTGGTGATCTACTTCACTGGGGTCTCTTTAATGCCACTTTTCAGTTACAAACCCACATTTTCAGCATCATACATGATAGTATCACTTGGGAAGCTTTTAATCTTTGCTTTGGCTTCACTTCAAACAGATTAATACAGGGTCTAGAGCTGAACATTATAAAAAGCTATCTGAGTAAGGCCAGTATGTAATGCTGGTTGAGGAATGCTTGGAGTGTCATTTGATGGCACCCAGTGGAAGCTTCTCCTGCGGTCTCAGCTCTTCCAGGCTCCAGATCATCCCTTCTACATAAATGAAATTTATTGAAATATGGCATTGGCCATTAAAATGAAAGAGAGACAGGAATATGATAAAAAGTCCCTTTAGCCTAGGAATTTAGAAACCAAGAGATCTGTATGCAGGCAAAGTGTAGTCAACAATGAATAGTGAAGAAAGCTCTGGAGTCAGGAGCACCCAGTTTCACGAATCTCTTTTCTGGAGAGTCTCTGAGAACCTGAAGACCTTCTCCTTTGATGGAAGAAGAAAACCTGGGGATGCATGGTGGTCCTTCAAAAATTTCTCCAGCCTTGGTGAACATGGGCTACACATCATTTTGCTTGTTTGCTTTCCTTCTTTCTTTCCTCCCTTCCGCCCCTCCCTCCCTCCCTCCCCCCCTCTCTCTCCTTCTTCCTTCCTTCCATCTTTCTTTCTCTCTTTCTTTCTTTTTTCTTCTTTATCTCAGCAAATGTGAAATAAATACTAGTTCTCATTTGGATCTTGTTGAATTTGATGCATTAATTTCTGTGTTCTAGACTAATGTTTAGTTTTGAATTGCTAAGAAGAAAATACTTGCCAATTAGCTATTTGAATTTCTTCAAGCTAGTTTGAAAACTATTAACTGCTCAAATAATGTAAGTGTGTATTCTAATGTCAACTTCTAAGTTAAGAATTCTGCATTTCAGGCTCTCAACACTTGGTCAAACATCTATTATATGGTCAGTACTATCTTACATTTGTGAAGATACAGTCTAATAGATATTGAGTCCACTAGTTAAATCTGATTTATGTTTGGTTTTTAACCAGTAAGTGTGATTATCCTGTAAGAGTTCCTCCTCCAAGTATTTAGAGAAAATATTTAGAGAAAATGGTTCATAATATTAAGAGAATTGTGGTTCATAAACTCTCTAGAAAGAAAAACTAAAATTAAGGGTTATATGTCAACAACTTGGAGTTACTTCCATAAAAATGTTCAAAGCTACTTAGTGAAGAGAAGACATTTAAATTAATGGATCTTCAGATAGACAAAGAAAGAGTAATGCTCACCACTGCGCTATTATATCATAATAAGGTATCTTCTAAGCATTCAAAATATTATGCATCAAGCATTTAAAATACTATATATCAGTGATGATAAGATAGTTGGATTGTGAAGTTCTACTGGGATCAAGTGTTATTTTATAATTATTACTAAAGCAGATCATAAAAAGTAAAGAAGGAAAAAGGGAAAAAAATAAAAATAAAAACATAAAAAATGGCCTCCTTTTTTACATTTCCACATAGGTGATCTCCATACCAGGAGATGAACTTGAACTTGGTTGGGCGGGAGACGGACCTGGTTGGGCGGGAGACTGGAGCCCCTCAGAGAATTTGGGATTCTTCCATTTTTACTGGGAGGGTTGGCAGGTATACCATGTGTTGTTATGTGAGTCCATAAGAGCCCCCGCGGCTCTAACTCCCTGCCTCCATGTGGCGGGGAGTCAGTTGCTCACTCTGGAGCACTGGTTTCTGTCTGTGGCTTACCCATGAGCAGTGGCTTGGAAGTGTCAAAGCATGAGAAGCATGCAGTCAACAGCATGCGCTGCTGTCCTCTTCTACATGGTTGTGCGTGGAAGCGCTGGGGCTGCCTGCCTCTGAGTTTAGCTGCTCGCTTCTTTCCCCACAGAACTCCCTGAAGGCTTCCAGTCGGAAGAAGAAAAGAACAAGCTTTAAAAGGAAAGCCAGTAAAAGAGGAACTGAGGTAAGTCTTTCAGAGAGGTGTGTTAGACATTCAGCTTCCTCAGCAGAGCCTTCTTAGCCCTGAGGATCTGGGCCACACTCACTCTTGTGATGCGCCTTCTACACTCCCTTTGTCCTTCAGTCCATTCTACTCGCATTGGAATCCTTCCTGTGTCAGATCTACCAACCTATCCATCAATTAGTCAAATCCGACCTGCTTTATCAGAGTCAGAGCATCTGCCCCTGCCTGGAACGTCTTCCCCAAAGTGACGGGGATGATAAAGATGACAGTGAGAACTGCCACTTCTAGAACTCCTAGGGTATGCAGAATAAAATGCAAAGCATAGCTCGGTTTTCTGGAGTAAATTACAGTGGGAGGTGCTTTCTCCCAGGTGACGTGTACATCTTCATGCCTTATGAAATAAGACTCAGGGTCCTAGGGGTCCACCGGGTTCACCCTTCCCTTACTTTGTGATTGCTTCCAAGCTGTGGGTATTGATCCTAATAGTGCTGCCTGCCTCTTCCAGCAGGAAAACAAAGGTCGTCCTTTTGTGATCAAGCCCATATCCTCTCCTCTCATGAAGCCTTTGCTTGTGTTTGTGAACCCAAAGAGTGGGGGCAACCAGGTGAGTCATTTTTCATGAGTTTAGCTTTGACTCTTTGATATGTCAAAGATACAATACCCAGTACGAAATAAAAGAGCATCCCAAGGGCACAGCATCTGAGGTGTGCCAGGACCAGGGGCAAAACTCCTAGAGTTCGCAGCCTGCCCTTCTTCCATACACAGCCAGACCAGACCGACATTTTCCTAAAGATATTCTAGAAGGATCCTTCCAGAATTTCTCTTAGTTAATAGATAACTGAACAAAGAAAAAAAAAAAAAAAAAAAAAAAGAAAAAAAAAAAAGAAAAAAAGGTTTATTCATGTTCAGCGTGGCCACACCAAGGAAGAGGCGAGCAAATGGAAGGGTTGAGTGGCCCCTATGTCCATTTTCCGAAAGTTTTCATAATTAGGAATACATTTACCAACTTGTCTTTATTTCTTCCAATTATAATTTAACCTGACTCCCTTTTCCCTGTCCTCGGGGAAAAGAGCAACCAGAGTTCATTTGTCACAACAATTGTAAACAAGTACCTTAAGGCCAGAGAAATAATCTGTTTCTAAAGACTTCATTATTCCTTCTTCTCTCTGTCCGTTTCTTTCAGTGTAGCTTAATATTGACCCCATTTCAGAATACAAAGATACCATTACAGACGTTAATGGCATTTCTACAGTAACCTTGCTTTGTAAGAACATGGCTTTCTCTATAATCTAGTCCTTTATCTTTTTATCCATTTCTCTTCTGCTCCCTGGGGCTTTTTACTAAGACTTCACTGTGGGCTTTGATTTTTCTGTTATTTTCTTGGGAACTTGGATGTGAAAATACTTTTTTTCCCCTGACCATTAAGTCTACACTTTATACTTCAAGGCAAGACTCTTGGGAGGGTCACCATCAACAAATAGAGATGTGAGACTTTAATCACCCATATTAGGAAAGATGTCATGGCCTGCAAGCAGGGTTTTGACTGAATCCTCCAAGTGATGTCATTTTCAGATAATAGATGTCTCCCAGGATGAACTGAGTACAGTGAGGCTTGTCATATGAAAGCCTATGATTGAAAAGGATTCCCTGTCTCCTCCTCCTTCTTCAAGATTCCTGGTCACTTGCAATATTAAAAATCAATCTCAGTACCATGGAGAACAGATGTTATAACAAAGAAACAATTTATTTTCCATACCTTCATTTTTTGTGTCTGTTAGTGATGATGTCCTTCCTCTTCTAATGATGTGGCTCTACAGTAATCAGTAGAAAGGGACCATGTGATGAGTTTCTTAGGACTGATGTTCAGTTTGCCCTGAAACACACCCACTCAGGGGCTGGTCTCCTTGTAATCTAGCAAGGGTGAGTGGTACAGTTGAGAATCAAGAAATGGAGCAAAGTAGATGCAGTTAGTTTCATGGTTCGGGTGGTCTGAGCATTGCAAGCTAGTTAGCATCAGCTATATTTTATCAAGGCACTCCCAACATAAAGCATATCTTTTTGAGATAGGATCTCAAGTAGCCCAAGCTGGCTTTGAGCACACTGTATGGTCAAGAACGGCCTCAAACTTCCTGACCTCTCCCTCTCCCTCCTGAGAGCTGACATTATAGCATGTACCACCATGCCTGATTAATGCAATGCTGCTGAGCACAGCACCCAAGATTTCATGGATTTTAGGCAAACACTCTACCATATGAGCTACACCCCCGGCTCTGAAGTGAATTCATTAACCATGCTAAGAACCCCCCTGCATTGGACACTCAGATGTTTTTTTCATTTTGCCTGCCTTCGTGAGGCCAGCAAGTCATTTAAGATATTCTTGTTCTAGTCTCTACAAATTAATAGTGATGGAGACTTCATACATTATCTAATGCTGTTTCCAAGTTCATTAAGTACTCACAGACCAAGGAGTCTTAAGTGAACTTGGAGGACATCTTTTTTGTTAAGGACATAAAAGGGACTATGGGGGGAAATAAGTCAGGTGTCATTTGTTGTGTGTTCCAAACTGGGTGAACCATACTGCAAGAGCTGTAGAATTCCAGAGGGAAACAGTAACGTTGGCATGATAAAGAAATAGTGTCTTGTAAGGAGCTGAACTAGGAGAGGGTGCTGTGTAGTTACAGGGAGGAAGGACTATGAGAGGAAAGTCCCCTTTCTTCCCAACCGTGGGAAGTTTCTGATCATCCTTCAAGGCTCCCCAGTGCCTGTCTAAACCAGTTATCAAAATCAATCACCCTCTCCACTGTGTTCTAAGACCCTGGGATGCACCCACCTGTCATCTACGATAGTGGTAGTGTTCTCTGGATATGTGTTCTCTTGGAATGTAGGCAAACTGGGGGGCTACATCTTTCAATCCTGGATTTCTAGAGCTCAGTGCATAGTAAGCAAACAACTGTATAGTGAGAAATAACAAAAAACAGAGTAGATGTGGGGCGGGAATTCTGCATTTCAATGACGCTGTGGTGAGTAGGCCATGCAGAAAAACTACAGGATATATGATACAGGATAAAGATTGGAACCAGCCCATGGAAAATGCTTTTAAAAATGGGTTTAAAGTGCTTTGCTTTTTAAAATCTTCTGGCTTATGAACAGAAAGTGACATGGCGAAGGTTATTGTGCAGATACTCACTCGAGAGCCTGTTAAGGCTCAGGTGCCATCTCAGTAAGTCAGGGTGGCCCTGAGTTCCCTGGGTTGACCCCTATTTCTCCCATGTTCCAGATGCTGCCTCTGCCTTAGGGGACAGATCTCACTGCCTGACCGGGGCTTCCTGATACAATACGTGGGGTAGGGTGTGGGCATATTCTGATTTTTGCAAATTAACAGTTAATGATTCAATTATTCCACTCATCTGATTGTAGGTAAAGAGCATTTCTGACTCATTTCCTCTCTGAAGTATAGGCTCCAAAACTTTTAAAACTTGTATTCGTCTTTAGTAAATAACAAGATGATATTGCCATCTAGTGGCTAGAAAAAGAACTGTTTCTCCCCCTCCCTGCCCCTTGCTTCCTTAGGAATGGAAGAAAAACATCAACATTTTGAAGGACTATATTGGGCTAAACATACACCATGGCTGTTTCTGTTAAATGACACATTATTCCATTACCCTTCCTGTTAATCTTCACAATAGTTGTCTCTATTTTTTCCAGCACCATTAGGGTACACATGACCTGGTGTTTTGTAAAGGTTTAGACACTGGTTGTACTGTTGGTACCAAAAATATTCGAGGAGACAGGTACTGGGCTCAAGGACCAAAACATTAGCTTTGAATTACTCTTCCTGTGGGAGGGGGACTGGAGGTAGGGGACAGATTTACTCCAACACAGTCCCCTCCTCTGTGTAGGAAGTTGGGACACCCCACTCCTACACCATTCCTCTCCCCATTTACTGAGTTCAGTGCCTCTTTTTGTGTTATTTAATATGGGTTCAAAGGTGCACAGATGTTAGCCACTGGAATAGATGATCTCCATAGTCCCTGGAGTTGAGGGGTTGAGATGCTGCTTGCACTGTCCAATGTGGAGTTCCACGTCAGATGTGAGCTCTTGGGCTCCAACTAAGCAGAAGGATGCGGACAAGGGGGTAGCTGCTGGTGGACAGGTTCATGCTGGCTGAGTCCATACCACTCCTCTGAACCAGTGTTCCCCCAGCAAAGCTGCTCTCCTAAGTCAGGAGTCAGTCACTCCAATATGGACATGGGGAACAGATAAAGAAAGTGACTTCAAATGAGAACTCTGACTCCATAAACTGTCTCCACAATACTTGGAAGCACAGTCTCAGTGAAATAGATTTTTGAAGTGCTGGCAATTTTTCAACTTGGAGATCAATAAAACTTTATCGTTTTCTACAAATTCAGGCTTCTGGGGGTCAGACTGGTTTGGAGAGAGAGCCAAGAGACAGTAATTAGATGAGGGGACACATCAAAATCCAGTCTTAGGATTGCCAGAGCAATTTCAACAGATGAGATGAAAACCACAAACACCACAGATTTGCTGAATGTCCCCTTTTTTATGTTACCCAATTGTTGTGAGCATATGCAGTGAGAAGTTAAGACACAAATCAAGCCATCTGGGTCTCTGACAGTCTAAAGCATACCTGTCGGTAGCTGCAGTGGCTACAGGGAAAGGTGACAGTCTGGCTCTCCTCAGTAAAACATCGCAGTGACTGCTTCCCACAAAGCCAAGGCCAGACATTTTAGCACACAGGTGTAGCTAGAGTTTTCCTGCCTGGCCCACAGTCAGGACAAATCTTTGTCACCGGCGAGTCCCACAGCCACTCAGACCCAACCAAGTAAACACAGAGACTTATATTGCTTACAAACTGTATGGCCGTGGCAAGCTTCTTGCTAACTGTTCTTATAGCTTAAATTAATCCATTTCCATAAATCTATACCTTGCTCGTGGCTTACCGGCATCTTTTCATGCTGCTTGTCAGGGTGGCGCCTGGCAGTGACTCCTTCTGCCTTCCTGATCTTTCTTTTCTCCTCTCTGTTAGTCCCGCCTATACTTCCTGCCTAGCCACGGCCAATCAGGTTTTATTTATTGACCAATCAGAGCAACTTGACATACAGACCATCCCACAGCACAGCCAAGTGCAGACCATCTCAGACACCTGCACTCAGGCCCGTGGTCCTAATCATCCTCTATGCGGACCTGCTGGGTAAAGCCACGAGGAACCCAAGAACGAGCTCCCACAGGACATACAGAACATCCCACAGCACACAGGGCTTAGTCTATGGCTGGCTCCAGTTGCCTCATCTCGAACCACTTCCTGCCTCTTGCCTCCTAAGATGTTGTCAAATGTAGTTTTTCTGTGGCATGTCCTGTTCTTTTAAACCTCTAGTGACTTCACCCTGGACCTTCACCCTCCCTCTGCTCCTATGGAAAGAGACTGTTCTACTCAACTTTCATGACCAAACTCAAATGGTGCTCTTCGGATACCTTCGTCTGATCTGAACTTGGGTTTAGACACTATCTCCCCTGGGTGGCTGTGCTTCTCACTGGACAGCTATGGCACAGCATTTACTGGCTTCAGTGAATTAATATGTTTCATGTTGGTTTCCTTCCAGGAGAGGCTGTGCTCTTGAGTATAGGCCTGAACACAAAACAGAGGCTAAATCCACGATTGCTGATTAAGTGGTGGGTTCTTTGGGATTGTGTGCACTGGAAATAGTTATTCCTAAGTTCTTCTCCCCACTGATCCTTTTCCTCCAGCTTGCTTATTGTCTGGTCTTGTTTTTGTCTTGATTATCTACATCATGCCTACATGATATGAACTGGGGCTTAGTGATACTGTAGGATGCTTTTGCAGGATACCCCGGCAGTACTCTGGTGGAGAGCAGTATGCTTCGGACAGAGCTGTTCTGAATGGCTCCTCCATCCTGATCAGATTTTGCTTTATGAATATTGTGTAGATATTTCTTGTGCAGCCCAGGGATCCCTGTTTGATTCAACTCTTCATTCTCCCACCTAAAGCTGCCACACATATACGAGTGGGTGGTGGGGCTGTGAATGCATCTTGTCCATGTCTGTAATAACCCACCTGCTTTCCAAGAAGCTGCATTTTCCCACAGCCAAATTTGGAAAGGATAAACATTCTTCAGCCCCCCCCCCCCTTCAAGAGTACCCAATCACATCATAGGTAAAAAGCTCAGTGGTCCGCAGGTTAGTATACCTGTGAGTTGAACTGGAATTTATGAGCACCGCTTTTTTTCCCCATTCAAGAAAACCAGACTCCTGCATAAAAGTTGCAGGCATTGCATTCGGCATGCAGCAGGTGAGAGCTGTCATGTGCTTAGACTTGCTAGTGACAGTGGTGTAAGTGACTGAGTAGATTTCATCTCAGCCCCGAGAAAGATGCAAATTACCCATTTTCAGCGAATCCTGTCTGTGTGATCATTGGGTTCCATTTACTAAACAGGCCTCTGAGAAAGTAGCTTGTCCTAGCGCTGGAGGCGATCTGTGGATCTCATTTAAATGTGGGCGTGTCTAACTTCTTGTGAGCATCTAGCTTGTATGCCCTGCTCACTAGGATTGCTTCAAAGAAATGCTTTCATTGAAATTCTCGTCATTTCTCTTCATTTTGGAAATAAGATTCTTGTGTGTGTGTGTGTGTGTGTGTGTGTGTGTGTGTGTGTGTGTGTGTG